CACCACCCACCCCACACCTACACCACCACTCACCACCCACCCACACACCACCACTCACCACCCACCCACACCACCACTCACACCCACCCACCACACAAACCACTCACCACACACACCACCACTCACCACCCACCACTCACCACCCACCACACACACCACCACTCACCACCCACCCACCCACCACACAGGCCACCACTCACCACCCACCCACCACCACTCACCACCCACCCACACCACCACTCACCACCCACCACACACACCACCACTCACCACCCACCCACCACCACTCACCACCATCACCACCCACCCACCACACAGATCACCACCCACCCACCACTCACCACCCACCCACCCACCACACAGACCACCACTCACCACCCACCCACCACACACCACCACTCACCACCCACCCCCACCACTCACCACCCACCCACCACACAGACCACCACTCACTACCCACTCACACACCCACCCACCACTCCCACCCACACCACCACTCACCACCCACCCACCACACAGACCACCACTCACTACCCACTCACCACCACCCACCACACGGACCACCACTCACCACCCACACACCCACCCACCACCACTCACCACCCACCACACCACCACTCACCACCCACCCACCACACACACCACTTTACACCCACCCACTCACCACCCACCACCCCACCCACCCACCACTCACCCACCCACCCACCACACAGACCACCACTCACCACCCACCCACTCTGCCTCACCTCAGAGCCTGCCCTGTGGGGGTCTTAGATTTGTTTTATTGGGGTAGAGAGGGGCGGGGTGGGTGGGTGGGTGGGTGGGTGGGGGGGGTTGGTGGGGAGACAGGAGTGGGGGGGGGGTTGGTGGGTGGGGAGAGAGGGGCGGGGTGGGGTGGGTGGTGAGATGGAGAGGGGCGGGGTGGGTGTTTTGGGGTCGGTGGGGGGGTGGGTGGGTGGGGAGAGAGGGGTGGGGTGGGTGGGTGGGTGGGATTGTGGGTGGAGATGGAGAAGGTGGAGCTGGGTGGGTGGGTGGGGGGGTGGAGAGGGTGGAGGTGGGTGGGTGGAGGTGGGTGGGGGGGGTGGAGAGGATGGAGGTGGGTGGAGGTGGAGAGGGTGGAGGTGGGTGGAGGTGGAGAGGGTGGAGGTGGGTGGAGGTGGGTGGGGCGGTGGAGGTGGGTGGAGGTGGGTGGAGGTGGAGAGGGTGGAGGTGGGTGGAGGTGGAGAGGGTGGAGGTGGGTGAGTGGAGGTGGGTGGGTGGAGAGGGTGGAGGTGGGTGGAGGTGGGTGGAGGTGGAGAGGGTAGAGGTGGGTGTAGGTGGAGAGGGTGGAGGTGGGTGGAGGTGGGTGGGGCGGTGGAGGTGGGTGGAGGTGGGTGGAGGTGGGTGGGTAAAGAGGTTTGGCCCTTTAAATCTTCCGAAACGCCTGTAGAGAATTCCTGGTGGTGTGGTTATGTTGGTGGGGGGGTAGCGGTGGTGGTGTGATGGTGGGGGGGGGTTAAATAATAAATTAATCGCAGCTGAGACCCCCCCCCCCCAATCATCCCGAGACACGCGCAGCCGTCAAGCATCACCGCTACTGTGCCACTCCACCTGGCCTCTATCCAAACAAATCAATCCGACACATTTCCACCACCCCCACTACCCCCCACCACAGACAAACAAAATACAAAGCCCTCCCCCCCCCGGTATAGCCTCCGACAGACTTGGGGCAAGTGCTGTTAGCGAGCAGCAAGAGGAGCAGCAGCTATGAAGGTCGGCACAGTCTCACACGCCAGCCGCTGTAGATTTGGAGTTTGCGTCTCTCTCCATCATCATCATCATCATCAGGGTGGCTAGGAGATGTTGACTACCTCGCCTGGTGTACAGGAGGTCGTGGGTTCGATCCAGACCCTAACGATGCTTGCTGTTGTGTATTTGGAGTCTGCGTGTCTCTCTTTCTCTCATCATCATCATCACGGTGGCGAGGAGATGTTGACTACTTCGCCTGGTATACAGGAGGTCGTGAGTTCGATCCCGACCCTGACGCCTGCTGCTGCTGTATATTTGGAGTCTGTGTGTCTCTCTCATCATCATCATCATCAGGGTGGCTAAGAGATGTTGACTACCTCGCCAGGTATACAGGAGGTCGTGAGTTCGATCCCGACCCTGACGCCTGCTGCTGCTGTATATTTGGAATTTGCGTCTCTCTCCATCATCATCATCACGGTGGCTAGGAAATGTTGACTACCTCGCCTTGTATACAGGAGGTCGTGGGTTCGATCCCGACCCTGACGATGCTTGCTGCTGTATATTTGGAGTCTCCGTGTCTCTCTCTCCATCATCATCATTAGGGTGGCTCGGAGATGTTGACTACCTCGCCTGGTACACAGGAGGTCGTGGGTTCTATCCCGACCCTGACGCCTGCTGTATACTTGGAGTTTGTGTGTCTCTCTGTCATTTAACTGGTAAGGTAAATAAAATAAATAGTGCAAAGTTAAGTGTCAGCGTAACGAGTCACAATTCGGCAATACAAGAATCATTATATTCCTTTGCACTGATGAGCTATTAATCTCTTGTCCAGAGAAGCGATGGGTGAGGGAGTGGAGTGAGATGAGAGGGGAGTGGAGTGGAGTGAGATGAGAGGGGAGAGGCAGGAGAGTGCGTGGAGGGGAGTGGAGTGAGATGAGAGGGGAGTGGAGTGAGATGAGAGGGGAGTGGAGTGGAGTGAGATCAGAGGGGAGAGGCAGGAAAGTCCGTGGAGGGGAGTGGAGTGAGATGAGAGGGGAGAGGTAGGAGAGTGCGTGGAGGGGAGTGGAGTGAGATGAGAGGGGAGAGGTAGGAGAGTGCGTGGAGGGGAGTGGAGTGAGATGAGAGGGGAGAGGCAGGAGAGTGCGTGAAGGGGAGTGGAGTGAGATGAGAGGGGAGAGGCAGGAGAGTGCGTGGAGGGGAGTGGAGTGAGATGAGAGGGGAGAGGTAGGAGAGTGCGTGGAGGGGAGTGGAGTGAGATGAGAGGGGAGAGGCAGGAGAGTGCGTGGAGGGGAGTGAGATGAGAGAGGAGAGGTAGGAGAGTGCGTGGAGGGGAGTGGAGTGAAATGAGAGGGGAGTGGAGTGGAGTGAGATGAGAGGGGAGAGGCAGGAGAGTGCGTGGAGGGTAGTGAGATGAGAGGGGAGAGGTAGGAGAGTGCGTGGAGGGGAGTGGAGTGAGATGCGAGGGGACAGGTAGGAGAGTGCGTGGAGGGGAGTGGAGTGAGATGAGAGGGGAGAGGCAGGAGAGTGCCTGGAGTGCAGTGAGATGAGAGGGGAGAGGTAGGAGAGTGCGTGGAGGGGAGTTAGATGAGAGGGGAGAGGTAGGAGAGTGTGTGGAGGGGAGTGGAGTGAGATGAGAGGGGAGTGGAGTGAGATGAGAGGGGAGAGGTAGGAGAGTGTGTGGAGGGGAGTGAAGTGAGATGAGAGGGGAGTGAAGTGAGATGAGAGGGGAGAGGTAGGAGAGTGTGTGGAGGGGAGTGAAGTGAGATGAGAGGGGAGTGAAGTGAGATGAGAGGGGAGAGGTAGGAGAGTGTGTGGAGGGGAGTGAAGTGAGATGAGAGGGGAGTGAAGTGAGATGAGAGGGGAGAGGTAGGAGAGTGTGTGGAGGGGAGTGAAGTGAGATGAGAGGGGAGTGAAGTGAGATGAGAGGGGAGAGGTAGGAGAGTGTGTGGAGGGGAGTGGAGTGAGATGAGAGGGGAGTGAAGTGAGATGAGAGGGGAGTGGAGTGAGATGAGAGGGGAGAGGCAGGAGAGTGCGTGGGGGGGAGTGGAGTGAGATGAGAGGGGAGAGACAGGAGAGTGAGATGAGAGGGGAGTGGAGTGAGATGAGAGGGGAAAGGCAGGAGAGTGAGATGAGAGGGGAGTGGAGTGAGAGGAGAGAGGGGGCAGACGATTGCCTATGACCCGCACGTTCACCATCCTCACGTCCATCAATTTCCAAGCTCGACCTCACGTCCACCACTGCGATGCCGGGTAGACAGGACTCCTGGTTTCACTCCGCATCTCCCCCCCCCCCCTCATCTCCCCCGACCGGGTTAAATGCCTCGAGTGTGTCCCTCGTGTGAGCGAGGAGGAGGAGGTGGAACCCGACACCGGCTCCTCGCGGGAACAAGAGGCGTCTTGCCTGGGAGAGCGAGCGGGCAGAGGCGAGACGGGGGTTACGGAGGGAGAGGAAGGAGGGAGGGAGGGTGGGGGAGAGGATGGAGGAAGGGAGGGAGGATGGGGGGATGGATGGAGGGAGGGGAGGAGAGAGGGGAGGGAGGGGGGGGAGGCGAGGATGGAGGGGGGGAGGATGGAGGGAGGGAGAGGGGAGGATGGAGGGGGAGGAGAGAGGGGAGGGAGGGGGTGAGTAGGTAGAGACAGAAGGTCGCGCTCATTACACACAAAGTGTTGACCACAAATTAACCGTGACACCTCGCTGATCTCGTCAAGGGGGACAACCATCCACAACCATCACTAATCATCACCACAAACCATCACACAAACCACCATCCACAAACCATCACACAAACCATCACCAACCACCATCACAAACCCTCCACAAACCACCATCACCAACCACCATCACAAACCATCCACAAACCATCACCAACCACCATCACAAACCACCATCACAAATCATCACAAGGAAGAGATTGAAGGAAGAAAGGACGGTGGGAAGGAGGGGATGAATGAGTGAGGGAAGAGTGAAGGAGGAAGGGAGGGAGATGGTGAAGGAGTGAGTGAGGGTGGGTGGGTGGGTGGGAGGGTGGGTGGGTGGGTGGGAGGGTGGGTGGGTGGGTGAGAGGGTGGGTGGGTGGGTGGGAGGGTGGGTGGGTGAGAGGGTGGGTGGGTGGGTGGGAGGGTGGGTGGGTGGGTGAGAGGGTGGGAGGGTGGGTGGGTGGATGGGAGGGTGGGTGGGTGGGAGGGAGGGAGGGAGGGAGGGAGGGTGGGTGGGTGGGTGGGAGGGTGGGTGGGTGGGAGGGTGGGTGGATGGGTGGATGGGAGGGTGGGTGGGTGGGAGGGTGGATGGGTGGATGGGAGGGTGGGTGGGAGGATGGGTAGGTGGGTGGGTGGGAGGGTGGGTGGGAGGGTGGGTGGGTGGGTGGGAGGGTGAAGGAGTGAGTGAGGGTGGGTGGGTGGGCTGAAAGGGCACCTTTTGTATAAGAGCCACTCACTGCGCTCTGCCCCCCACACAACATTCCTCCCCCGCCACTGCTGCAGCCTCACTCGCTCCGTGGAGCAGCAGCAGTAGCAGCAGCAGTAGTAGCAGCAGTAGTAGCAGCAGTAGCAGCAGTCGTAGTAGTAGTAGCAGTAGTAGCAGCAACAGTAGTAGTAGCAACAGTAGTAGTAGCAGCAGTAGCAGCAGTCGTAGCAGTAGTAGTAGTAGCAGCAGTAGTAGTAGTAGCAGCAGTAGTAGTAGTAGCAGCGGTAGTAGTAGCAGCAGTAGCAGCAGCAGCAGTAGCAGCAGTAGCAGAGTAAGCAGCAAAGATCCGACTTACAGATCCCAGATTTCAAGTCTCTGATCTCAAGTAGGAAGTCCGGATTTGAGGCCCCCAGATTTCCAGTACAAATCTTAGATCTCTGAGATCTCAGATTTCCAGTACAGATATTAGATCTTTCATCTCTGAGATTCCAGATTTCCAGTACAAATCTTAGATCTCTGATCTCTGAGATCTCAGATTTCCAGTACAGATCTTAGATCTCTCATCTCTGAAATCTCAGATCTGCAGTACAAATCTCAGATCTCTGGTCTCTGAGATTCCAGTTCTCCAGTACAGATCTTAGATCTCTGGTCTCTGAGATCTCATATCTCCAGTACAGATCTTAGATCTCTCATCTCTGAGATCTCAGATCACCATTACAGATCTTAGATCTTTCATCTCTGAAATCTCAGATCTCCATTACAAATTTTAGATCTCTGAGATTCCAGATCTCCAGTACAGAACCCAGCATATTTCAGGACCCACACATCTCCAGCGCAGCTCTCAGATCTACAGATTCCAGATTTCAGTTCCAAGGTCTCGAGTCCGGATCCACAGGCTCCCAGGGCATCTCCTGGATGTGTAGGGGGACAATCGCAACAACCACAACAACAACAACAACCACCACAACAACAACCACCACCACCACTGCCAGCACCCAGGAGATGTGACCATGCCACCAATCACGCCGCTGCTGATGCTGATGATGACGACGACTCTGCTGCCCACCTGGATTCTTCTGCTGCCCATGGGGCTGCCCTGCCTCTCCTCTGCCCTCACCTCCTCCTCCTCTTCCTCCTCATCGCCCTCCACCTCCTCCGTGTGCCCGGCGCCCTGCACCTGCGTGCCGCTGCACGGGGAGGTTCACTGCGCATTTCGCTACCTCCGCGGCCTGCCCCAGGACCTGCCACCGACGGCGAGGCGCGTCAACCTCGGGTGAGGCCCCCTGTGGGATCGGCAGGGACACCGTGATTGACCGCGGATATTGAGGACCCCCCCCCCCGTCGGCCAGAGCCTATAGACTCACACAGAGACCCACAGACTCACACAGAGACCCGTAGACTCACACAGAGACCCACAGACTCACACAGAGACCCACAGACTCACACAGAGACCCATAGACTCACACAGAGACCCACAGACTCACACAGAGACCCATAGACTCACACAGAGACCCATAGACTCACACAGAGACCCATAGACTCACACAGAGATCCACAGACTCACACAGAGACACACAGACTCACACAGAGACCCACAGACTCACACAGAGACCCACAGACTCACACATAGACCCATAGACTCACACAGAGACCCACAGACTCACACAGAGACCCATAGACTCACACAAAGACACACAGACTCACACAGAGACCCATAGACTCACACAGAGACACACAGACTCACACAGAGACCCGTAGACTCACACAGAGACCCACAGACTCACACAGAGACCCACAGACTCACACAGAGACCCATAGACTCACACAGAGACCCACAGACTCACACAGAGACCCATAGACTCACACAGAGACCCATAGACTCACACAGAGATCCACAGACTCACACAGAGACACACAGACTCACACAGAGACCCACAGACTCACACAGAGACCCACAGACTCACACAGAGACCCATAGACTCACACAGAGACCCACAGACTCACACAGAGACCCATAGACTCACACAGAGACCCATAGACTCACACAGAGACCCATAGACTCACACAGAGACCCACAGACTCACACAGAGACCCATAGACTCACACAGAGACACACAGACTCACACAGAGACCCATAGACTCACACAGAGACACACAGACTCACACAGAGACCCACAGACTCACACAGAGACCCACAGACTCACACAGAGACCCATAGACTCACACAGAGACCCATAGACTCACACAGAGACCCATAGACTCACACAGAGACCCGTAGACTCACACAGAGACCCATAGACTCACAGTGGTGTACTGTGAGTGAGTGCGTGGTGTACCGTGCGTGGTGTACCGTGCGTGAGTGCGTGGTGTACCGTGCGTGGTGTACTGTGCGTGGTGTACCGTGCGTGGTGTACCGTGCGTGAGTGCGTGGTGTACTGTGCGTGGTGTACTGTGCGTGGTGTACCGTGCGTGAGTGAGTGGTGTACCGTGCGTGAGTGAGTGGTGTACCGTGCGTGGTGTACCGTGCGTGGTGTACCGTGCGTGAGTGAGTGGTGTACCGTGCGTGAGTGAGTGGTGTACCGTGCGTGAGTGAGTGGTGTACCGTGCGTGGTGTACCGTGCGTGGTGTACCGTGCGTCAGTGAGTGGTGTACTGTGCGTGGGTTACCGTGTCTCGCAGCTACAACAGCCTTCGCGAGGTGAACGCTTCCCGCCTCGCGACGACGCCGCACCTGCAGATGCTGCTCCTGCACGGCAACCAAATCCGCGCCCTGCCGGAGGAGGGCTTCCCTGCTCTGTCCGCCCTGCAGGTAGCCACTGAACCTCAGAGGTCGCAAACGGGTTTTGATTCCTTACCTGTACCCGGCCGCACCAGGGTCACAAACGGGTACCCGTACCCGTACCCGGCCGTACCCGTACCCTACCCGTACCCGGCCGGGTACGGGTAGGGTACGGGTACCCGATTGCGACCTCTGGGATGAAGCCATGTTGCAGGCACGGGTGGATTGATTCTAGGAACTTGAATTGTGAGAAGAGACAAGACGTTGGGAAATGAGTGACAAACAGTGACTCACCAGTGACTCACGGCCTACCCGTACCCGTACCCTACCCGATACCCGGCTACCCGTACCCAGCCGGGTATCGGGTAGGGTACGGGTATCGGATAGGGTACGGGTATCGGGTACCCGATTGCAACCTCTGGGATGAAGCCATGTTGCAGGCGCGGGTGGGTTGATTCTAGGAACTTGAATTGTGAGAAGAGACAAGACGTTGGGAAATGAGTGACAAACGGTGACTCACCAGTGACTCACGGCCTACCCGTACCCGTACCCGGCCGCACCAGGGTCGCAAACGGGTACCCGGTTGCGACCTCTGCTGAACCCTAACCCCGCACTTTCCTTGCTCGAGTGGAGTGGCTGCCCTGCAGGTAGCGACCACCTAGGACTCGTGTAAGTTGTGAACGACGACGAGGATGACGAAGACGTGCCGTGGATTGAAATGAATAGCTAATAAATATACTTAGGTTTTTTCAGTAAAGTCACGTAGGTAAAAAAATAAAATTAATAAAAGTAAAATAAAATAAAAATCACGACGTTTCGGAGGCAACACAAGCTTCCGTCTTCGGTTCCACCTGAAAAAACCCAAGAATATGAATACTTGCAGTCACGAAAGCTTCAAATCTAGAGATAATAAATAGCACTGGTCAACAAAAAAACACATTTTTTCTGGCCTGGACTTTTGCAGCTGTTCTAGACGTATTTCAGGGTGCCGATTCCAAATCTGATCTCAGATCTGCTCTATCACATCTCATATTTATGCTATCGGCATACCCCATTTTCATTGATTTTACCCGAAATTAACTCCGTCACTTACGATTGCCAGTTGTTGCGAGTCAGTGACTGCTTTAGTGTAAAAATATGGTGCTGTATTTTTAGGATAGTGTGTTTATAATATCATTGTATGTAGATATCCACATTTATTTAATATTTTTCTTCTGCAGTTTTTATTGAAAATGCAACATTTGATATCTCAAAAACCTGATGTGATAGACAAAAACTGATGCCAGATTTGAAGAACAGGTCTGTCGGAAAGACAGCGTCTGAATGAACACCACCAAGCTTGGCAGCGTATATTTAAGCTGGGTTAGAGGGGGAAGGGCGCCTAGACAAAGTAATTTGCACATCAAGAGGAATTTAGCATATTTATGGGAAATGCAGATATGGGATTAGTCACTACTTGTAGTAGTAGTGACTAACGTCGTGAGAATTGTATTTTATTACGTTTTATTTTTATTACTTCATTATTTCCCTTCTACGTGACTTTACCGAAAGAACCAAGAAGAGCAAATTAACAATTTAAAGAAGTCAAAAGGGCAACTTAAATGACGCGTGACAACTTTAATTCAAAGGTGCTGAAGCTCAGCTACAACGAGCTGACGGCCGTAGGCCCGAGAGCCTTCGCTCGCCTGCCCTCCCTCTCCCGCCTCCACCTGGACCACAACCGGCTGGAGCGCCTTGCTCCCGGCGCCATGGCGGGCCTCCTGGCGCTGCGCTACCTCCACCTGCAGGGGAACCGCCTGAGCTACCTCAGGCCCTCGTCCGTGGCTTCCGGCCTGGCGCTGGGCCTTTTCCCCGCGTCACCGCTGCGTGTCCTGCACCTGGCCGACAACCGGCTGTCGTCGCTGCCGCGGGCGACGCTGGCCGCGTTTGGGGCCGTGCGGAGCGCCTCGCTGCACTCAAACCCCTGGGCGTGCGACTGCCGCCTGCGGCCCCTGTGGGCCTGGGTTCGATCCCAAGACGGTGGGTGGGTGGGTGGGTTGGTGGGCGGCAGAGGTCGCAAACGGGTTTTGATTCCTTACCCGTAGCCGTACCCGGCCGCACCAGAGGTCGCAAACGGGTACCTGTTACCCGTACCCTACCCGATACCCGGCCGGGTACGGGTACCCGATTGCGACCTCTGGGATGAAGCCATGTTGCAGGCGCGGGTGGGTTGATTCTAGGAACTTGAATTGTGAGAAGAGACAAGACGTTGGGAAATGAGTGACAAACGGTGACTCACCAGTGACTCACGGCCTATCCGTACCCATACCCAGCCGCACCAGGGTCGCAAATGGGTACCCGTACCCTACCCAATACCCGGCTACCTGTACCCGGCCGGGTATTGGGTAGGGTACGGGTACCCGATTGCGACCTCTGCGATGAAGCCATGTTGCAGGCGCGGGTGGGTTGATTCTAGGAACTTGAATTGTTAGAAGAGACAAGACGTTGGGAAATGAGTGACACACGGTGACTCACCAGTGACTCACGGCCTACCTGTACCCGTACCCGGCCGCACCAGGGTCGCAAACGGGTACCCGTACCCGGTGGGGTACGGGTAGCCGGGTATCGGGTAGGGTACGGGTATCGGGTACCCGATTGCGACCTCTGGCGGGCGGACGAGCAGGCGGGAATGTCCGCTTGGCAACAATTGTTAAATTGTGCGTGAGCTGAGAATGAGTTCAAATACAAAGCGGTTTTGTTATCCGCAATATATTTTTTTGGAAGTTTAGACAGCGTAATTAGAAGTGCGTCGTTATACCCACGTGATCCCACCCGAAACACCTCTAATGTGGATGTTATCGGTCGTAAAGGCACACTGCGTGTTACAACAGCGTGGCCGTTGCTGAAGGTAGCGGTGTAGTTATGGGGGGAGTGGGGCTCAACAAGCACCTGCCCCCACCTTCCCCCTCCCCCTTCTGACTTTGGGCCCCGCGCCTTACCGCTCGCTCGAAGGCACCACCCACCACCCAAGACTTATCTTTGCCCCTCCAACCCCTTGCCCCGTGGCCCAGCACATTTGAAACCGGAAATGAAAATCCAGATTTCTTTGCTTTGTTTTACCAAAGCTGTTTGGAAACCTTCCCACCAAACCAATGACGTTTTTAATGTTTCCCTTTCACCCCTTATTCACCCCCCCCCACTCCCCCCCTCCCCCGCGTGTTCCCCGCGTGTTCCTCTGTCTTCCCCGTGTCTTCCCTGCATGTTCCTCTCGTGTTCCCCGCGTCTTCCCCCCTCTGTTCCCCGCGTCTGCCACCTCTGTTCCCCGCGTCTGCCCCACGTGTTCCCCGCATGTCCCCCACGTCTTCCTCCCGTCTTCCCCGCGTCTTCCCTGCACGTTCCTCTCGTGTTCCCCACGTCTTCCCCCCTCTGTTCCCCGCGTGTTCCCCACGTGTTCCCCGCGTGTTCCCCGCGTGTTCCCCATGTCTGTCCCATGTCTTCCCCCACATCTTCCTTGGCGTCTTCCCCACGTCTTCCCCGCGTCTTCCTCGGCGTTTTCCCCGAGTCTCCCCCCCCCCCGTTCCCCGCGTCTTCTCCGCATGTTCCCCGCGTTTTCCTCGGCATCTTCCCCCCCTGTTCCCCGCGTCTGCCCCGCGTGTCCTCCCAGTCGCCCTGCAGTGCAAACGCGAGCGAGGCCAGGAGCCAGATGCTCCTCCACTCTGCCCCAAGTGTGCCTCCCCGGGAAGCCTCCTCGACCAGGACTCCTTCTCCCTCCCAAGCGGTGCCCTCGTGTGCACGCGGCCGCGCATCCTCCGTGGCCCGGGGGGGCCCGCCGAGGCCTCCCCGGGGGGCGGCCAAGGGGAGGCGGAGGACGGCCCAGAGGAGATCCACGAGGACGAGACGGACGCTCGCCTGGAGCGCCTCGAACCGACACGGCCCCTCGGCTCGGTCTCCTTCACTCTGACGCCGCCAGCGACCCCCACCGCCGGCGTGGCCTTGGCGTGCCGGGCGTCTGCCCCGGCAGTGCCGGTGACGGTCGCGATGGCGGTAGCCGGGCCCGAGGGCCGGGAGGCCGCGGAGGGAGGAGGCGCCCTCCTCTTGAACGCAACGCTCCGGTCCGAGATGCTTTGCTCCGCTCGGCCGGGAACTTCGGCGAGGCTTGCGCGGATCTTGGTGACAGAGTCCGGCGAGAGCCAGAGTCTGGTGCTGGTGAAGGCGCCGGGTGCCACCACGGACCGAAGCCTCTACTGGGGCCAGCGGGGCCTGCGTGTGGCTGCCAGTGCCCGCCCGGCGTGGCTCCTGGCAGATGTCCTGCACGTGGAGTTCCACCTGGACCGTGCCGAGGGCGGTGGCGGCGGCGGCAGCGGTGCCATGGTGGCAGCGACGCTGCGAGTCAACGTGTCCATTCGGCGTGAAGAAGACGCTGACGATGACGAGGTGTGGAGGAGCAACGGTGTGTGGAGTGGCGACCACGTGGAGGTGGAGTGGACAACCATCGCACGGCGCCACTCACACGACAACAACGACGGCGACGGTGCTGGTGATCAAGTTGGCGGTGGTGGTGGTGGTCGTGGTGACGATGGAGATCGCGTCAGTGGTGGTGGCCACTCGGTGGCCGTGGAAGGCTCCAACATCGGGTTGCACTGCTCCAGCCTTGGCCGCGGCTCCCCCATGTCCTGGATTCTGCCCGACGGCTCCCGTGTCCGCGTACCCACGGCGGGGGCCGCCACCATCGCCGCCACTGCCGCCCGCACGCGGGTCCGCTCTGACGGAACCTTCTCGATTGGCCGGGCCCAGCCGTCCGACTCGGGCCTGTACACGTGCGTGGTCGGGGGCGGGCCGTTCGGTGCGAACGCCGCCCACGCGCGCCTCGCCGTCATGTCAAAGCGGTGGCCGCCCCGAGGCACGGCCCGCGGTGGCTCCACGCCGCCGCCGCTCTACGTCCCCACCGGACGCGCGGCCTCCCTGGCGTGCGAGGCCCACGGCGTCCCCGTGCCTGCTGTCGCCTGGCTGCTACCCGACGGGACGCTCGCTTCGAATCAGAGCGGCGGCCGTGCCGGCGTCGAAGTGGCGGCGGGGCCGGCGGGCCGCTCCACGTTGAACGTGGCCAGCGTGGGGCCCGGCGACGCCGGCGTCTACCGCTGCGTCGCCGTCAACGCGTACGGGGCCGACGTCCTGGCGGTGGAAGTGGCGCTGCCCGCGGCGAGCCCGAGCGGGGAAGGCGACGGATCTGGGAGTGACGTCGACGGAGAAAAGAATTTGGAGCAGGAGGAGGATGAGGAGGAGCAGGAGGAGGTGTCCATGATGGCCCGGCGTGGCCAGGTAGCCGTGAAACACCGGGACGGGCGGCGCTGGGCGGAGGCTTGGGCCGCGCTGTTGCAGCGGCACAGGTCGGCGGGCGACAGTCGCAAAGGAGCCCGACAGGTTGGAGGAGGAGGGGGAAGAGGAGGAGAGGTAAGAGGAGGAGGGGTAGGAGGAGGAGGGAAGGAGGAGGAACGTGGTAGTACGGCGACAACTTCGCCCGCAAAGGAGGCATCGGAGGCCCCCTTGGACAGGGTGTCGTGGAGAGCTAGAGGGCCTGGCGGGTGGCGCCATGGCGGGATGGCGGAGTGGACACGTGCGCACGCAAATGCCCAGCGGCGGCAGCAGCAGAAGAAGCACGATGAGCATCGGAATAAGAAGCAGGAGACACAACAACCACATGAGAAGCGGCAACAGGAGCAGCAAAAGCAGCAGCAGCAGCGGCGGCAGAAGCAAACAGAGGAGCGGGAGAAGCAGGATAAGCAGCAGCAACAGATGACAACCTCAGCTTACAAGGTCACGACCTCTACATCTGTAGTCACCACGCCAAGGGTCAGGACTCCAACCTCCCAGGTAGCGACTTCCACCCCACCGCCTCTGAGAGCCGAAGATGAGGTGGGGATAGAAT